AAGAATTCATGCCACTGCATTGGAGTTTACATAATAATTGTGTTTTAGAAAAAAAAAAGATTTGTTTTTTTTTATCAAAAGATATCAAAATTATAATTTACAATATTCTTGATTGTAATTTCATTTAATCTTTTTTTTTTCTGAGGTTGTAAGAAAAGTTGGGACATAGCAAGTATATATATATATATATATATATATATATATATATATATATATATATATATATATATATATACTTCCATGAAATATAACTTATTTCCATAAGCATATGAAATAGAACCATTTCTTTTATACAATTCTCTTCTTTTTTTTTTCTAAATAGAGAAAAAAATTATTTATTCCATCTGTAAACAACAAAAAAAAAATTATGTAAAATGTTTGCATCAGATTTGACATTAAATAATATGGAAATGAGTTAATTTTGTTTTTTTTGTTGTCACTGAATGGAAAAAAAATAGAATACTTGATAAAACCGATTGATTGGGTTTCTGTATACATATATACATATACATATATATCATGAGAATATATATCTATATACATATACATACACATTTAAGTTTTTTTTTTGTAAATTTAATTTCTTCAAAGGAGAGGATAAATGAAATTGTTTAGAAATATAAATTGTTGTCCCTCTGTTATTCCATACAATTCCTCGTTCCAAAATATCTTTACTAGAACGGTGTTGTGTACTTGGATGTCTTTTACTCTGTGCAGTTTCAATTGCATGTAAGAAATGAAAGTGATGTGACTACAGTGGACTCCATTTAAGTGGGACTTTCATTAAGTGGAATAATTTATTTAGTCCAGTTACAAAATTTCTCTATTTAAGTGGAATTTCAAAAAATTTTGCTGGACTCGATTTTTAATTTAAAATGTAAAAAGTCCCCAATTCAGACAACTATATTCAGCAAACCATCTATCTGTGGTAAAGCATCACAGTCGGACACAATAATTTTATTTTAAATAGTTTGCAGTGCAAATTGGTGTTCTGTTATTCTTTACAATGTCAATGTTACCATGTATATTGTATGTCTTTCTAGCACAACCTATTTTTTCATTTTTATGCTGTAAGTAGATATCTACCCCCATGATCCTAACTCTAATAGTTTGTTTAAAAACTTTTACTTTTAAAAGTATAAAAACAAGGATAAAAGATCCAAATAAACTGATTCAATTTCACTAAAATTATATTTTCTTAGATGCTTTTAGCTTCTGATCAGACATTAAAACTATGTGGCTATATTGAACCTAAGAGTGCCTTTTTCTCTATTCTGATATTCGATAAGTAGGACTCTTTTTCGTTTGATCCGACAGCTCCCACTCATAAGGAGCTCATTTTAAGTGCTAAGTGGGACAAATTTTTATTCCCCCCTTGAAGATCCTGTTTATGTAGAGTTTACTGTAGTTTGTCAAGAAAAAAAAAGGAATAAAGGGAGATAAATCTTCCATGTTTTTTAGATTCACACTTAATTTTTTTTTAAATAGCAGACAAATTTCATTCTTCCGACATTAACAAAAAGGAAAAGCCAATATGGAACATCAGAAGGGAAGGAATTGAAAAAATATCATTAGTGACTTTATTTTTATTTTACTGCAAATATCTTTGAGAAGAAACTGTGTACAGTCCAATACGAATTGAAGATATGACATTTTATATTTGGTATCTTCAAAGAGCACTAAGACAGGAAGAAAGATAAAATGTAATTTCGTATAATTAATGTTGAGAAAATGCAATTTGAATTTTAACTGAAGGATTTTTATTTTCCTTCTTCTGTTAAATAATATTTATTGATTGTTATATTTTTTTTTTAAAAAATATCCTCTTAGATTTTTTATATTTTTAAAAGGGCAGTTTTCTTACTGAATTCTGATTTTGTCCATAAATGAAAAAAACAAAAAAACAAAAAAAAACAAAAAAAAACAAAAAACAAAAACGAAAAACAATTTGATTTTTAAAATTATAATTTCATATTTTTTAAAACAATTTATAACTGAACAGGATATTTTTCGGAAAATTTCAATTCAAAACTATTTTGAAATTTCAACTTTATTATCATTATTATTATTATTATTATTATTTACAGTTTGATAAAAAGAAATCTTATTCATACCTTCAGAGTTCTAAATCCTGGTATAAAACATGATAAGGTTTTTGGATAGAGCTTTTCATAGATACATAAGTATGTATTCTATAGACATATTTAAACTTTATTTACCAACTGATTACAAATAATATTTAAAGACAAGCATTTGTCCCCATATCAGCTGTCACACATACTTATAAATATTTTCAGTTGCCAAACACACTATTCAGATATATACACAAACAAAGTATTTGCCAAATAACCAATGTAAAACATTATCTGAGCATTATATATATATATATATATATATATATATATATAAAGAACGGTTTTTATTTATTAATCCGACAGATTTTGCTACTTAAATGTTATTTTTAGTGTCTACCCATATTTGAGTAGACGCTCAATTTATTTATTAAGCAGTATATTATTTGAATATTCAGGCTGGTAGACAAAAAATAAATAAGCAAAGATGGATAAATGTACTCGGAATAAAATGGAGAATGAAAAGGATCGTTTTTCCTATGACACTTTTTTTATTGACCTTCACTCCCTCGGCAATATTTATTGTTTTAAAAAGTGAAGATTAGAATTGTAATAAAACCTAAATGTATGAAAGTGAATTTATACATTTTCTTTGTTCTTGCAGAGTGACACCAAAAATAATAAACACTATTTATTTATGAGATGGTTTGTTTATACTTATTTATTTATTATATATTTATATATATATACTTTATTTATTTATTATTATACTGGAATGGTTGGCAAAATGTCAGCTAATTGCCAATTGATTCAAACTTTATAAAATGGTAAATAATAAGGATTTTCTTAACATTGGTTCACATATTTTAATAATTTAGTAAATGTTTATAAATTTATGAAAAAGAATTGTTTTCATATTTATTTCTTTATAAATTGGTAAATGACAAATATTACATTGCATTAGTTTTAATTGCATTAGTTTTTAGAATTTTGTAAATATAAAATTATTCTTGTAAATAAACAATCTAACAAATAGTATTTAATAATAGTATTTTAATAATTTTGTTGTAAATTCTCAAGAACCCCAAAAATGTATAAATTCACTTTCATCATATGTTTAGGTTTTATTCCAATTCTATTCATTGCTTTTTAAAACATTTACTGAAGAGTGGAAGCAGTTAAAAAAGCAGTAACATGTGAAAAAGTGTTCTTTTGACACTAACTCTTATTGCAGGTATATTTCTAAATAAATGTACTGTTTAATAAATAAATGGAGCGTCTAATGAAATATGGGTATCTACTAAAATATGTATGAATATATATATATATATATATATATATATATATATGTATGTATGCATGCATATATATGTATATATATGCATATATATGTATATATATATATATGTGTGTGTGTGTGTCTGTATATATATATATATATATATATATATATGTATCTGTGTGTAAATATTCTCAGATGGAGTGTATCTGTAGAAGAGAAAACTGAATAAAAAAAAAGACAAAAGGAAAAAATATACTTAACTAACACATTTTGTCCATTGGATGACAAAATACATTGGCTAAGTATAGTTTTTCCTCTTCTTTTTTATTCATATATATATATATATATATATATATATATATATATATATATATATTTTATATCAAATGTACTGGTTATGAAGCGTATTTATCAAATACATAAAGATAGTTTGATAGATCCAGTGTTACTACCATTTTGGTTTTTCAATTTGATACCCAAACTCAAGGGAGGAATAGAAAAATAAACAAATTCATTTAATATTAACATAAAACTTTGATGTTTTTCTTTGCAAGAGAAAAGAATTTGTGTGTAAGCTGAGAACATAGTGAAATTAGTAAACTTTCTTGGCGTTAAACATGACAGTTTGCAGTAATTGGCACAATGCAACACCATCTCAATCTTGAAATTGTCATCATAGCAGTAATAGTAATAATAATGATAATAGTGATAATAATAATAATAATAATAGTGATGGTAGTGGCTTCTAAACTGACTCATTTGTAAAGTTTTCATCTCATTTAATCTTTTTCTCTTTTTGGAAAAATGAAAAAAATTGCTTTTTATTTAAAACAAAAAGCCCAAAAATAAATAAAATCAAAAAATGTTAAAATAAAAAAAGATTGATCTGTTGGCAAAGTTTAACATTTGTGCTTGCAAAAAAAACAACAAAAAAAACAGTGTTTCAAAAGGACATTTATTACTTAGACACTGCCATTGCTGTCTTCACTTTTGACTGCCTTCTTGGCAATATTTATTTACAAGATTATAAACATTTGTGAACCAAATACAATTTATTATTTACCATTTTTATAAAGAAATAAATTTGAAAATAAATCTTTTTATTAAAAAATTTATTAAAAGATAAATGACAAAAATTATCAAAATATGTAAACCAACTACAACACAATATTTATTATTACTATCTTATAAATAAGTATGAAAACAAATTTTTTATTCATAATTTTATAAAAATATTAACTATAACTCCACCTCCCAATGAATAGATATGTATTATCTATTTTGCTTTTTAAAACAATAAACATTGCTGAGGGAGTCAAAAGTGTATACAGTAATACTAATAACAGTATCAAGGAAATAACCATATTTTTGACACACTATTTTTTTCGGGCACGAAGGTTAAACATTGCCGATTTGTTTCTCTCTTAGTCTTGTATGTACTTTTTTTTTCTTTGTTTTTCTTGAAGATAATATTTGGAGAGATACATTTCTTTTTCCGCCCCCTCCAGAAGAGAGTTCCGAGATGGAAATGGGTGAAAATTTGAATAGAAAAGTCAGTCAGCCTGATGTCAATCCTGTTGCGCATTCACTTGACGCATCAAATGTGGTTTTTCTTACAAAGAACAAAAACTGGGAAGTGTCCATTATTATACACTTAGGGACATCAAAGGGAGATAATCTAGGTTTGCCGGTGAAACAATGGCCCAACAAAAACACTGCATAGCCCAGCTCGACTCTGTTTTAAAAAAGAAAGAGTAATCTTTTTAATTTAAAATGTTAGCATTTTCACACCTTCGCCATCAAATAATTAACAATGTAGCAATAATAATAAGAATAGTAGTAGTAGTAAAAGTACAACACTAATAAAAGAAGGATATGAATGGCAACGAAATTTTAATAAATGAATAAAATAAATTAATGAATAAATTTAAAGAAACAAGAATACGTTACAAAAATATTAAATAATAATAAATAACAAAGACGATATTTTAAAAGAGTTTTTTAAAAAAAAAAAAGAAAAAAAAAAGGGGACAAATTCAAAAAGGAACTGAAGGAAAAAGGAAAATGGAAAATTAAAAAAAAAAATTAAACACCCATATACAAAATGACAGATTAGTGAAGAAACGTAACACCCAAAGCAGAGAGAAAAAAAAAAAAAAAACTCAGGTAAAGATTTATTTACTTTTTTTTCTTGGGTTGTCAGGTGTGGTGGGCATAGGAAAAAATATTTGATGGTGTTTATTAACTTTTTTTTTGTTGTTGCCTTCATGGAAGGGAGGGATGGTGTGTTATTTTTTTTTTTTTTTGGGTGTGATATTTTGGCATATTAAATTTTTTTTTTTTTTTGATGGGGCAGGGAATTAAGATTGCTTTTTTTTTCCCTCTTTTTCTTCAATTTTTTTCTTTCACTTAAAATAAATTTCTCTTTCTGTTACTTTTCCTTAGGGTTTTTCTTGATTTTGCAATTTCAATTGCAGTATTTCTTTCTCAAAAAAATAAATAAATAAATAAAAAAAATAAGAAGGAAATGAAAGTAACTTAAAAGAGAATAAGAGAAAAATTAACAAAAACTCCCTATAAATATTGAAACATAATTAATAATAATAATAATAATTATTATTATCATTACATTACTGTTGCCTTTTTTATTAGAAACACACCTTGAGCCAGGAGTATGTTGTAGGCTTCCTTGCCGTCATCAGCATCACCGTCGTGGTCAAGGGAATGGGGAAGGGATTCAGTCTAGTTCATTGCCAGTAAGAGAATACCAGCAGGGAAAGCCCAACAAAAAATTCACAAGAGTTGATGTTGAGTTGGTTTTCATGAGGCACAGGCAGATGAATAAAAAAAAAAAAAAAATCTCACTTGTTGTAGTGGTAGTAGTAATAATAGTTGTAGTAGCAGGAGAAGGAATAGTTTGTAGCCATTGGTCAATATGGAAACCATAATAGTAGTAGTAGTAGGAGGAGGAGGAGACTGACAGTGATGGCAAAGAAAATGCTGACAACGGCACAAAAACAAATATGAATTTTCATCAACATCATCATCATCTTCTTCTTTTTCTTCTTCTTCTCATCGTAGTTACTGCTGTTTTAATTGTTAACTTGAAGTGCTTCATTGTGCGTCTTTGTTTTTTTTTTTCACTAATAAAATTTAAAAAAAAAATTTTTTTTCCAGATAATTTTTTTTCAATTTTTTTGTTTGTAACCCATGAAAATTGTTTTGGGTAAACAGAGGGGGTAGCATTTGTTTTAATTTGTATAACTACTTTTAGTTTTTTTTTTTTTTTTTTTTTTAAAAAGTTTGGGTAGGAAGGTAATTAAAGGAAGGAGGGAGAGGTATTTTTTCTTTTTTTTTTCATTTTTTTTTTTTTGCAGTAATAGGTAGGTTGGTTGGAAATGAACTGGCTCCATTTGATCTAAGCCTCATCCACTTTAAACTTAACCTTAATCAACAAACAAAACCATTACAACACCACGCATGGAGAAAAAAAAACATAGTGATACATGAAGAGACAAAGAATTGGATAAAAAACTATTTGCGTTGTTTATACATTTGGAGGTTCACTTGGAAATTTTAAAAGGAAAAATTTAGTAAAAAAAAAAAGAGTTCTTGAGCTTTAATCCATATATATATATATATATATATATATATATATATATATATATATATATATATATATATGATAAAATGACTGATATGAAATATCTGAACACAGTGTATAAGATGGAATATGTGAAAACCAGTCAGATGTTGAAAATTTTTATTCAGTTGTCAGTGTTTTGCTCTGTAAGAACATCATCAGCACTAGTGAAAGAAAATCTAAAGAAAATCTTTTACCAAACTTGCGGCTTAAAAACATTGTGATTAATTTGAAAGATTTTACACAGTTAAGAAAATCTCAAAATGAATATCTCTGAACAAATTATGCAGATTTACACATTGGAAATGTTAAAATAAAACAATAACAACTTTTTTTGTTTTTTATATCAAATCACAATATTTGCATCTTATTTTAACATATTTCTGATATACAAATCTTACTGATTTATTTTATAGATACTTATATTTAAACTTTATTAACTATGAAAAATTTTTCAAATTAAGCACAGTGTTCTTAAGTAGCCGGGTTGCCATGGTAATGATTTTTTCTTTAGACTTTTTAGTTATTCTGATGATGCTCTTACAGAGTGAAATGTTGACAACAGAATAAAAATAATTAAAGGTCCAACTGGCTTTTACAGATTGCATCTTTTATACATAATATATATATATATATATATATATATATATATACACACTGTTACATAGGTAGGTAAGTAGATGAAATTTAGGGATGGTAAGGTCTTCTATAACCTAAATTTTTTAGGTTAATTTTATTTAAGTGGCAAGGTTGAGGCTAATTTTATTTTCATCTGTACTTGATTAACTATCCATCAGTTTTGGTTAATAGATATTTTTTAATTATAAAGGTTTTGCTAACTCATAGATAATTACCTGTTTTAAATTAAATGTATTTTTAGGTATATTTATAGTTTTAGTACAGAAGACAATGTTTTTTGACCTGTCTGTCATTAAAATGATTTTGTTTTACTATTCTAAAGATGGTTTATTTAGTATTTATATTAAAAATATAACTAGGTAGGTTTTTATATTGTATATGTATGACAGAGTAGAAAAAGTTTTGTGTGACACGTTTCGTCCTTTAGGACTTCATCAGACTAAATTTGTTTACATTGATGCAACTACCCATGGAGAGATGCACTAGAAAAAAACATCACTGATTAAGCTTGATGAAGTCCTAAATGATGAAACACATCACATGAAAACTTTTTCCCACTTTGTCATACATATTTCCCCCAAATTGTTCTTGATATATCAAAACTTATATATCATTATCCCATATTATATATATATATATATATATATATATATATATATATATATAGGATAAAATATAGTTTTAAGGTATGCTATATTTATGAGTTAAAGTGCTTAATATCAAGGATAGAGCATATGTAAATATAAAAGTGGACACTGAAATCAACACCCAGTTTCATGTTTAAACACAATCCTCAGACTATGAAGATTGTGTTTAAGCATGAAACATACTGTTGCTGCTGGGTTTTGACCTTACTGTCCACTTTATATATATATATATATATATATATATATATATATATATATATATATATATACACACATCTATATATATATAAAATGTATATTTGGACAGCAACCTTCCCTTTAAACATGTTTTGCTGAATATGACAGACAAGGGAAATTTTATGAATTTTTTCTTATTTAGTTTTACAACATTCTTACATTTTTCTGTTTGCTGAGCGTAAAGAAGTGCCAAAATTGTCCTTAATGTCCATTGTTCTTAACCCCCACTAAATGGAAAAATGCAAGAATGCTGAAAAAACTAAATGAAAAAATTAATCAGATTTTCCTTGTCTGTCATATTCAACATATTTAGACTTACTGGGATATATTTGTTTTTGATTCCAATGAAACTAGAAAATTCCATCTGTATTTTTGGTTTTAAATTGATGTTTGCTTTTTATTTCTTTTTTTTTCAAATTAAAATTTTTAAATTTAATTAAAAGAAGAATATTTTTTTTTTAAAAATAGAAATTATTATTTAATTAAAAAAATGATTTACATGCCTGGTGTTGTGGTAATTGCAAACAGTTATGATGTAGTATTTATTCAAATTGAATGTCAAAACATTCTATCATTTGTTAAACTTCTAACAAATCATGAAGGCAACCATATTATCACAGGTTTTTGAGTATCACTGCTATTGTTAGGTGGGTTATAGAACTGGATGGTCACACACCTTACCACTAGATTCTTATACAGTGAAATTCTTTTGTTTGTTTTTAATGGAGGAGCATTAAAAAAAATTAAAAATGTCAGACATTTTTATCTTTTTTTACTTTTAAATTATTAACAAACTAACAATGAGAGGATGGGGGGAAAAAAGTAATTATTTTTAAACAATTTTTTTTTTTTCATCATTATTGTGACATTTATTTCTGAGGTGGTGGAGGTGGTGGTGGCTTTGGTGGTGATGATGGTGGTGGTAGAAACAGTTATTTTTGGAAAGGAAAGGTAAAGGCTAATCCTGGGTGTTAAGTGAATGGGTCACATTTAGGCATTTTTCATTTTTTTTTTTGGTATTTTTTTGTATTTTTTTTTCTTTTTAAATCTGACAGTGGGTTGGAGCAGGGGGGAAAAGTGGAAAGAGTTTTAGTTCTTGTTTAAATAAGCAACATATGAAGAGTAAAAGACAACTCCAGTACAGGTAATAGCACCAGAAAATCCTTTTTTTCTTCTTCTTCTCCATTTATTCTTTAGTTTTTACATTGTTTTACTTTTCTTTTCATCGTTCTTCTCTTTCTTCTAACTTGACTAGTTAACATTAACCTTATAATAATTTTCTGACCATTTTATCAAACTGTACGAATAATTATAGCGATTGAAGTGAAAATTGTGGTGGGGATTAGAACAATTTTGTTATTAATATATTTTGGCTGCACTTCTAGAAAATAGGGACAATTTATAATTTTCTTTCCATGTTCTGTCTGTTAAAATCTTTAAAAAAAAGAAAGAAAGGGGAATCTGATCTTTAAAAAAGGTTCTTGTCTTGTCTTGGTTTTATTTGTGGGGAAGGGGATAATTTTTTTTGTCTTTTTTTGTTTTTTAAAGTTGTCCCTTAATAAATAAATTGACGATGGGAATTTTGAAAGTTTATTTCGATTTGAAAAAAAATCCATTGTTATCATTAACTTTTTCATTTCATTTAAAAAAAAAATTTTTTTTTTTCCAAAGTCGATTTTGAAATACTTTGTTGTTTAATTTTTAATTTTCGCAAATCCGTGTTTGCTTCATGATCTTCTATTTTTCCTTTAACATTTTCAATGTTACGTATTTTTCATTTTTTGCCTGAGCCCAAACGTCAGCATCATTTTCAGCATTATCAACATCATCGTCATATAATCCGTAAATTTATCCCTGATAACAAGTACACATCTGCATCCTCCTTTATAGCATCGTCTTCATCGTCAACATCATCAATGGGAAAATTGAAATAAACTCTCTTCTTGGCTGGATACATGTTGCACATTCATAATCGCTGCCATTTTAGGAACGAACACAGGGTGGAATAAAACACCATGGAATTTGAATGCATCTGAGAAGTCATTATAGAATACCAACTTTCTGTTCAGCATCGTCATCATCATCATCATCATCATCATCATCATCAACAACATCGTCATCGTCATCTCCCAGGAGTCATGCTTGTCTGTCAATGCAAAAACACCAGCTTTGCTTTACAATGACCCTATCAAGACAGGAGATTGAAGAACATTGTAGCCAAACTGACATTCAACGCGATCAAAAGAACCAAGAGTTGTCTCTGTTGACACCAATCCTAAAATAATAAAAAAAAAATTGTTAGGAAATTGGCAAAATACAACGAACTTGAAATAATATACAAATATAATAGTCTTTTTTTTTTTTTTTTTTTTTTTTAAAATACTAGATATAATAGTTTCTACAAGACAGGCATACATGTCCTCAAATTCAAAGGTGCAATACATTGAGAAGTAAGGAAAGGAGGACTAGATTTGGAATCCTGAGACATTTGTGTTGATTTTGGTAAAATTTGGATGCTTCTACTATTATTCGTAGTGGCAGCTTTATCTCATCTCCAAGAATTTAATTTCTTCTTTTCTGATTGTTTCCTTTATGATGATGCCATTGACAACTAAGTTCCTGGCAATCCCAGAGAGAAAGAATTCATGAACGGTGCTTACTGGACAAAAGCTTATGAAGTTAACTCAATAATGATGATAACATTCAGAGAACAAAATTTCTCTACTTCTAATGAAGTGAAAGAGGCAACTTACACATGACTAAGAAAGCAACCAAGAAGACCTGTACAAGGCAGATGAGCCATGGTAGTTTCTGTAGTTTGGGTGCAGTTGCTTCCCTACCATTCTCAAGTGTTTAGATGAGACTGTCTAGACTTTGGTGGAAATCAGTGTAAGAGAAGAAAACATTGAATTCCAAACTGTGGAGAAGGCAATAGGAAACCAATCCTCTATCTTTCCCAAGAAGTCATGACAATTCACAGATAATAAAGAAAAGGAATCTGTGAGAAGGACAACTCTGAATTCCAAACTGTGGAGAAGGCAATAGGAAACCACTCCCCTATCTTTCCCAAGAAGTCATGGCAATTCACAGATAATAAAGAAAAGGAATCTGTGAGAAGGACAACTCTGAATTCCGAACTGTGGAGAAGGCAATGGGAAACCACTCCCCTATCTTTCCCAAGAAGTCATGGCAATTCACAGATAATAAAGAAAAGGAATCTGTGAGAAAGACAACTCTGAATTCCAAAGCATGGATTTTTAAACAATTGAAATACAATGAACAGATGGACATTGCAAAAATTTGAACAGCATCCACAATTAATATACTTACCTTGACATCACCCAAAATGACAGACATATCGCCTTGTTTGCGTCGCTCTTCAATATCCCTCAACTGACGAACTTCTTCCCTTCTTTGTGATGACAACCTGTATGCTTCTTCCCGGGGCATTGGCTTCATCCAAGGATGAGTCCCGATAAGATTAATATCGGGAAGACTCCCAGGATTACGAGCCTTGCTCAAGTTCTTCTGACTTTCCAGTGTGTATGACTTCAATGGCACCTCTTTTTCCGGGTTGCTCACTTTAGGTGTTTGAGCCTTGATTCTCTTGCGGATGCCATTTTCAATAACAAACGTTTCTGTGTTCTTTGCCGCCAAATTCTCACTGCTAACTGCCGCCTGATTTTCAGCTAAGCGCTGTTTTGCAGCTTCCGCCTCTTCCTCTCGTTTGATGATGCAGGGCAGTGTGCGTCGCCTCTGCAATGGACGGTGTTTGCTATCCTCCTCCATTGTTTCAGATACACCTGAATCGGGGGAGGTATCACTGGCAGGAGCACTATTCCGCTGCTGTGAAGGATTTGGATCCCCTGCGCCCAGCAGGTTACCAAAACCACTATCATCCCTCACAGCTGTACTATACTGGTCAAAGTGATCGTTCAAGATGGTGGAGTTGAAGAGTTCACTAAATCCTCGACCCCTTCTTGATCCAGCCAAGAAACTATACCTACGAATCTTTAAAGAGGGGCTACGAGAGGGATGTGAAGCTGGTACCGCAGTGTTTTCTATGTGATGGGTTGCAGTTAACTGGCTCTGTGAGTATGCATCATTATGAAAGTTCATTCCATCTGGCATACCAGGGTTGTAGCCACCAGGGAGAGTGGAGTCCATTGAAGAAGTCAAGCCTATTAGGGCCGAATCCATCTCATCTTGAGATTGCCGACCCAACATGGACTGTGTCCTTTGATGTGCATTATGATTATTTGGAAGAACCTTGATATGACTAAATTCATTTTCATCGGGATTCTCTTGTAGTTTCTTCTTCATAATATCTGTCCCTATAAAAAAAAAAAAGCAAAGCAGTTTTTGAAAATTTTCATAATTACAATTAGGTTTTAGCTGTTAGTCTTAGGAATTTACAGATATTTTAACATTATGTAGGAGACTTTGGTGATCAAAAAGTTTGTCATGCTACTGACAGCAACAATTTGGTATTTGTGTTGTCATATCCTGCTATGGCAGTAGTAAAAACAAACTTGACTATAGTTCAGAACTAGGTGAATGCAGTTGATGATGGTACTATATGCAGTAGAAGGGGAAGTGATACCATGAATAATGCAGAGTGCTAAATATTAAATACTTGACTGTGAAGAAGGTACTTCAGCATTTAGATCACAGCATAGGTGTAAATGGAAGTAATCAATATATAAAGGAAACTTTCTTTAAATTTTTGAAGATTGTGGGTAGCAAGGAAGAAAAAAATCAGGAGTTTCACAAACGAGAAGTGTAAGAAAAGTAAGTATTAAAATAGAACAGATAGTTGCATCTAGCGAGTTCAGCAGTAAAATGGTGAGACCCAGTTGCCAATCTAATAGCATACTTAAATTCTTTCAGTCGAGGCACTAAAAAGGTGAACAGCTCATCAAAGAATATTTGTAGAAAAGGTAGAGGGAAACCAAAAGAAGGATTCTGACATGAAGTATTGTCTGACATGACACAGTGAACCAACTTTCCTAGCAGTAGACCTAGCAATAGATTCAATATAATCACTTCACTTCATCTCAGTGAAAAGCATGAGACCAAGAAGGTGCAAAGTGTTGCTCTCCTGGAGGTTAGTATCAGCCATGCTGATTCAGAAAGAAAAAAATTCTCTGTGGTGGTTAAATGAAAGTAATATTGGTTTGGAGGCATTGAAATTTACAAGCCATCTTAACATATATGTACTAATATGGAAAAGAATGAAGATTTCCAATAATATAAGTGTATTTGGAATGCACCTTTTAAGTTGGACAATCTTGGAAGGGAAGATGATATTCTGATAAGCGTGAAAATGGTGCAATGGACAAAAAAGATTGAGGACCACTGATCTAGAGAGGTTTTCATTCACTTAAAGGCATTTTTAATTGTTGGCTTGATTTTGATGTGGCAAAATGACTTTTATAAATTCTTATGCAATTATATTGCCAGTTAAAATAGATAATGCAACTATTTGAATGAATATAATATTAATGGGGAAATTTGCCATTAGGCATTCATTGACTGAACAGTTAGCATTACTGTTGGTTGAAATTTATAAAGGAAATGGTGAAATTAGCTGTTTCCATACAAGCAACATTAGGCATTTATTGAGTGAACAGTTAGTGTTACTGTTGGTTAAAGAATTATCAAGTGCACTAGCTATTATAGCTCTTTCTAGTACTGACGGAAGTTTCCTTCCTAACCTTCTGTTTAAAGTAGTGTGGAGAGTCAACATCTTCATTAGGTCATTATTTTCTTTTCGAGATACATGTGCTATCCACCTTAGCTGTTGAGTGGATTTTGTTATTTGTTAAAGTTCTTTGTAATTCTGTAGCACCAGTTTACGAGATCTGATGAAGGAAACATTGTCCACATGATTCAATATCCTGGAAATATCTTTGTTCCTGTGAGTTTCATCTAAAGAAGATTCTGATAAATAGTAAAATTTGTCTAAATATTATACATCGAGTGGGTGGAAGTTCTGCATTCAGAATTAAGTTGCTCTTCAACATACAAGCCATTATAATTACTACAATTAAATACAATAGAAGCATTTTCATTTCTTTTATTCTTCAGACAAAGTTTCGAGTATTTGTTTAAGTTAAGTTGTCAATGAATAAACTTTCATTTGATTGACAAATGTGTGTCTTTTGGTTTTTTAGAAGCATATCAAGTGTCAGGGTTTATTTAAGTTAAGACTGTTTGCTAATCAATCATGCACATAAGATAGAACATTCATCAGTTAATCAGGCATATGTGGAACTCTTTTGTGTGGGAGAGTACATTGCATACATTGGCTTACTTAGTTCCAAGAGAAGAAAAACAAGCCAAACTAATAAAAAGAAATAAATAAGCAAAGAAAATAAAAGGAGATAATGAGAAAATGCTTACAAATTTATCTTTTTTTTTTTAAATTGCATGTTGAGCAAGCTGAATCAGAAATGTAATCATCAAGTTTTCTACAAAAAGCCTTTGTGTGAGAAATATGTCTATTCCAGTAGGTAAAGTCTTCATAAAGTAATTAGTCTCAGAATGGACAACATGTTTTCAACCAAAAAAAAAAAAAAAATTGTTCTTCTTTGGTGAGCTATTTATTCATGTATGGTGTATCTTGGACAGGTAGATTATTGCAAAATTTAAGCCCTGTTTTGCATTATTATTATTATTATTATTTTCAGATGGACCAATATTCTTATCTTTGTTGATATTATCATATTTTAATCACTTCTCTCCGGCCTTCTTCCCTTATCTTTTTTTTTTACAGTGAGGTTCACCCTGTACAAGGCCTGGGGACCACTCAACGTAGAGGGTTACAGATTAAGAGGCACAGTTTATATGGATACATGGGGAAGATAGTGGTTAAACCTAGATTTGAACAAGTTAAAATTGTAGTGATTGGGAAAACATCCTCTTGGGAATTGGTTCCACAGAGCAGTAGTTTGTAGGAAGAAACTGCTTGAGTGGAACTTACCTTTCACTAATGGAATATGGAGTAGGGTTCACTACAATGTGTGTATCATGGCAGGTTCTAACCATGAAGGTTAGAACTGGTAGGACTAAGGAATGTAGTTTGTTCAAGCTCTTTCCATGGATAGAGCAGTAAGAGGTTTGCTCCATCTCATCTGTTTTAATGAATGACTGAAATTAAATATCAATAAGATACTACAGCGTGATCTGAATTGCCAAGAGGACAGAGTTGTGAAGCTTGACAAGAGTGTTTGGTGGAGGTGAGTAACAAATCATGTAAGGAAGCATGTTGATCTGATTTATTAAGAAAATGAGTAAGGAAATCCACTAATTGCACAAGATACTGAGCAATGGAAAAATTTGAAAGTCTGAATACCAGCAATGTCTTTAACATTAGAATGCTTAAGACACTTGATGAGCATTAAAATCACCAAACACAAAAATGTCTGCAGATAATTAGAGAGAGAGGGAGCCTTTTCTATACTGTCAAAAACTTTGTCCAATATACTGCAGTCCTGAAAAGAGAGAAAGCAGTAAAGGAAAAAGAGATAGCTAACAGAGTGCAATAACAAAAGTCGAAAGCACATGAAAGAACATTCTGGGGATTCAAGGGGCAATTCCTTTGCCCATGGCTGATTTTTCTGGATATAAACTGAATTATTAATAGTTGTCGGGAGGTTAGACTGAGGACTGTGTTCAAGCATGAAACAAACTGTTACCACTTGATGTTGACTTAGTGTCCACTTTTATCTTTACATATGCTCTATCCCTGATAGTGAGCATAAATATAGCATATTGACCCATAAATATAAGGTACCTTAAAACTAAATTTTTATTATATATATATATATATATATATATATATATATATGTACAGTGAGTCCAAAAGTTTTTGCCCTATTTTTATTTATTTTTATTTTATTGTATTATTGAAGTTTTTATTTTATTGCATTTTGGTCTTTGAGTCTTCAGGAATAGGGTTTTTAGATTGAATCAGAATCAACGAATTGCTGCTGTCCGACATTACTATCAGTGTGGATCAAATGAAGCAGAGGCAAGTCATGATAGTGAAGAATCAGATGCTTCACTATCACGATATATATATATATATATATATATATATATATATATATATATATATATATATAATGAAATGGACTAAATCCGATAATTATTTTAATATATTTTATTGTGATACACTATTTATATAGACACAAATATTTCAGGCTGGTAAATGTTGTTAATACTGTTTATTATAAATAGAGCATTTAATTAAATATTTGTATCTATATAAATAATGTATAACAATAAAATATATATAAATATATAAATAAAAACAAAAAGAAAACTTAGCTGACACATTTTGTTATCTGAGGAACTTTATCAGGGCAAATGTAAGGATTTTATTTTGTGACAAGTATTTATATACAAGAGCAAAAATGTTATTGGTTTTTCAAAATTTTTTGGTATAGGAGTACTCATGAATATTCATCAGGTTAGCAGAAAGATCAAGCAAGTTCATGGATGTGAGGTAATTACAGTTTAATGCTTAATAAATGAAAGTGAGTAGGTCACTTATGGAAAAAGAATGTAACTTATTTAGAAGGAAAATTCTCTAAAGTGCCTCTATTGAATCTTATCAAAATATAAATCTTCACCCCGGATTCTTCCCAATATCTCCTTTCCTGAAAGAATTACTTTTATCCCAAGCCAGGATACATGGCCACAAAAATACAAAAAATGAAAAGGAAATGGTTAAAGCCATAACTTCATGTTATTCAAAACATGTAACACATAAATCAATCCCAATCCAAAATAATTTAAATAATAATTTACATATATATATATATATATATATATATATATATAAAAAAAATATCTCCTACACACTTTCATTTAGACTTGGTGTTGACATCAGTATCAAATTTAAAATTTACATACACTCCCTCTGATATTGAGCACACTGCTTACAATCTATTTCATCCTTAAGCACAATCTTCAGGCCATTCATATCTATCTATCTATCTATCTATACAGAACAACAAAGATTTTCTTCTGTGTTTGTTGTTAGATGGATGGCATAAGGAGTGTTTAGTTTTACTAATCTCAAAATTTTCTTTTTACTTTTGTTGATGCATTTTTTTCAATACGTACCAGGTTGAATGAAATCCGGAGCATATTCTTTTGCTTTCAGACGAGCAATCTCTGAATCCTGGGCAGCCAGTGTAGCTGCTTGGTCAGCTTGTTCGGACTTTGATCGAGCATTTGCCATTCTATGAAAAAAAAACAAAAACAAAAGAAAAGATAGACAAAAATGAATAATTCTGACAGGTATCCATTGAAATCTCGAACACAAGAATGTGATCAAAATATGAAGAAAATGATTGTTTACACAGTAAAGAAATTTGTAGTCTTTAATGTTTATACGAAGAATAGAAATCCATTGAAAATAGTTTTAAGCTCTTCCAATACCCTAATTATTTTATAATGAGTGCAAAACAAAAGGCTTGTAAAAATTTTTCAAAATAGAAATGTAGTCATTCCTGATAAACCAAATAAATCAAAATCTACCAACCAACTCTATCATGATTATAATTTAATAGCTTAACATAAATTTGTTACAGCTATGTCTAAAACAATAAAAGACTTAATACAAAACAAAATAATATGTTAAAACTTGAAGGAAGACATTTATTCTATCTATTGCCCCAGAGAATACATCAGAGAAACCTGAAGAAATTTAAATAAAAGATTTTATATTTTTTTAATCATTTCACCCCCAAGCAAGGCAATAAATCCACTAAGATGCAAAGGGTTACTGAGTGTTAGGAAATATGAGAAAAATATACTATTAAGGAGAGAGGACAATAAAAGAACAAGACAGAAGATAATGATTGACATCGCATTTAAATTTTTTAAGTTGACTGGGAAATTTCAACTGTAAAATGATGAGACCTAACTGCCAATTTAGTACTGCACTTGTGTAGTGTGTATGTATTAAGTTCTGTCTATTTTTAAACTTTCTGTCTTTAACTTTTAATATTGAAAGTGCAAGGGAAATGATGATAAAAAAATATGTCTAAAAATCAAACCTAATAATATTAAGGAATGAACAAAACATGCCATCAATTTCCATGGCGTGCGTAAACTAGTATTGATATGTGATTGTAGTGGGCATAAAGTGGGGGATTCATTTTCTGTTGTTATTATGTAATAAATTGATCTCAACTCATCAGAATTACTACTTATGAATGTAACAATTGTAATAAAATGTATTTAGACACACATGTAGAAATTTTCTAAGAAATTAACAAAATATGCCATCAATTTTCATGGCAAGTAAATAAATATAGCAAGAAAAACACACACACACACACACACACATATATATATATATAAAGTGGACATTGAAGTCAACACCCAGAGGAAACTGTTTGTTTCATGCTAAACACAATCGTCAGGCTTAACGATTGCGTTTAGCATGAAACAGACTGTTGTCATTGGATGTTGACTTCAATATCAACTTTTATATTTATATATATACAAAACACTGATATTGAGCGCTTTAAACTATAAATATAGCATACCTTAAAACTATATATATATATATATATATATATATATATATATATATATATATATATCAGTGTCAGAATTCTTTCAAATATATTTGGTTGAATAATACTGATGAGTTCTGTCTATCTGATTTTTATTAACTTTTTCAAATTTTTGAATTAGTTGTTTTATGCAATCAGTAAATGTACCAAAGTTCATGTTTATTTATATTTTATTTTGTTTTTACCCCTGCATATTTTCAAATTTGTTGTTTTCAAGGATTTTGTTTTGTGTCTGTTTATGTAACTGTTTTTAGTTTATCCTGTAAATTATTTTGGTAAATTTACTGTTTATAATTTTGAAATTTGAAAAAGTTAGTAAAACTGGATAAACAGAACTTGTTGATATTATTCAATCAAACACATTTGAAAATGCACATACATATGCACATACATATGCACACATATATTAGAAAATGCACACATACACATGCACACACACACACACACATCACTATATACATCTTATTTAATGGATAGAATTTTATTTCTTTAATAATAAGATGCGTCTGTCAATTGATCATTATTTTGACCTCAAACTCGGTAAGGACAACATTGACAATTGTGGTCGCTGATCATTTGACTTATTCTTTTGTTGACCTTTTCAAATATTGCAATTACCAGCTCAACAACTGACCATACAAAATTTGCAAGCACCAAATGTCATAAGTTCAAATTTACAATTTCCAGGACAAATGAAAAAAGGTCCTCATGGACTTTGTCTCTATTATAGTGAATGAAAGTGAAAGCCTTCAATGAAACATCTTTGGATAGAACACGATCGTAAGGAGAGAGAAAAAAAATCAAGTCAGAAGTTTTGAGAAGTTCCCCTAATGAGATTAAGTAAAAACCAAGATTTGGAGAAGAGAAAGAGGCACAAGAGAAAATGTTTTATAGAGTAATTTTTGTAGATTAGCATGGATTAGACCGTTCTTTATCCACAACATTTGTTAGAATAAAAAAAATATTATTTTCTTGTTTTTTTAGATGGGGGTTCAATTCATAATATAAATACAGTGTCAAATTGGTCCCCGACTTCTTAAAGAGTTATCTGTACTATGTTTTAATTTATTACAAGCCTTAACTCAAAGAGCTCTTAACACAAAGAATGCTACCAGTCCAGATAACATTCTGGTGGTTTTTCTAAAGAATCTTAAATTAGAGTCATCTCCAATCTTGGCAAAGTTCTTTTGCTACCACCTGAAGGAGAAATGTTCCCTCTTTTGATGTCGTAACTGTCATTGGACACAGAATTGGCGAGGCACTTGATAATAATTTAATCATGAGAGTGATTGCCTTAAATTCTCTGCAAGACATTTGATGAAGTTTGGCATAGGCGTTGCTACAAAACTCTCCAGCTATGGAAACTCTGGAAAAGTCTTCACAATTATCAAGTCCATGTGCTTGTAACTTTCAATATCTTAAAAATGAAGCTTGTAAATTTTTGTCATCACTGATGATGAAAACATACCATAGTGTATGGATTAATCTCCAAAAATCTAAATGACCAAAGCTTGGCAGTAGATCTCTCATCTGATAGCCAAATTGTTGGAGGAGGGGACTGCTAATAACTTTCACTATCTCAAAGATGAAGTTTGTAAATTTTTGTCATCACTGAACGGATCATAAATTCTCAGAAATTGTTGCACTTTCTATCTGTGAATTGTCATGACTTCTTGGGAAAGATAAGGGGAGTGGTTTCCCATTGCTTTCTAAATGGTTTGGAATTTAGAGTTGTCTTCTCTTAGAATGGTTTCCACCCAAGTCTAGAGAGTAAGGGAGAACAGATGGATTCATGCCATACTCAAAAGTGAATTGAACAGATTTGGTTGGAATTTGAATGTATCCTGATGATCCCACTTCCCATGTTGCTATTGGTTATACAACTGACACATTCAGACACAATAAATCAATAACTGATGATGGCTATAGATAAAAATAAGTATAATATTGTAGATATAAAAATTTGAATTCATAATTTTGAAGTATACCCTTGAATAAATAACTGCTTATTTTCTACTTAATATATTTTCTTTCAATTCTATTCATGCACCATTTTGAAAAAGCAAGACTGAAATATGTAATTTTTAGAAACGTTCTTTTTTCCCCTCCTTTTACGGACACTAAAAATGTGGTCATGTTTTAAAACTCTGTCACTGACTGATAACAGGTAATTGTTGATAGGAAAACCAAACATAGCATGTTAAGGATGATGGAAGAAGTTTTCGTTGATAAAGGCCCTACCCAAAAATCAATAACGCAAGTTGTACAGATGATGATGTAGTAAGGTATACTTCTGCAAATGATGCTGATCAGTTCTAGTCTACCATGGCTAATAGATGACAACATAGAATACATGGCAGCTAATATTAACAGAACACAGTGACATGGGAAAAAATGGTGCCACAAATGGTGTAGTAGCAACAATAATGCCAAACTATTACAGAATAAATATTAGATAATGAAGACATATTAAATGTATATAATGCAAAAGACAATATATGTATTTTATAATAAAAAGAAAGAACAGTAAGATATATAATCTGGTGTTCTTACTGATATTTTTATTTTTACAAAACAGCGCTCAATGTAAATTTGTCTTTATTCATTCTTTTGAATTTGTAGGTTTGATGAATTGGATCTTAATTATGATTCCAATATAATAAATTATAACCATGGAATATTAGTGTTTAAGTCTTTTTATTATATTCTTACTCTGTCCTGGACATTGAATTCTACCTGGATTCTATCCTCTTGAAATTTATATATATATATATATATATATATATATATATATATATATATGTGTGTGTGTGTGTGTGTGTGTGTATATGTATACATGTATATATATTTATATATTTATATTTATATATATATATATATATATATGTGTGTGTGTGTGTGTGTGTGTGTGTATATATTATATACTAATATATATATATATATATATATATATATATATATATATATAAAAGGGAGAATAGTAAGATATATATATATATATATATATATATATATTGATTTCTGTATCCTTGAAACAGGGAATTATAAATTTGTCTGCATTTAAAACTCAGTAAATTTAAAATAAGTTATTCAATATTCGCTTGATGATGAAATGAAACTAATGCATTTAATTTAATTACAAAATTAAATTTGGAGTTTTTTATCTTCCATTTTTGAAACATGGTTATTACTATGTAGTGGAAAAAACATAATTTACATCAGTTAAGTTATAATATATATATATATATATATATATATATATATATATATATATGAATAAAGACAAAAGGAACAATTTTCTTTACCAACATGTTTTGTCCTCTGATGGATTTCATCAAGGCAAATGTAAGGATTTTATTTTGAAACATGTATTTATAAATAGAAGTAAAATTATCATTAGGCTTTCAAAATATTTAAATTTAAGAATGTTGATGAATATACTTTACTAATTGTGAATTTCAAGCTAAACTATGGAGGACACTAAGTGATGTAATAAATGAAAGTGAGTAAATGTTGTTATTGTTGTTGAACTTTGTTTTTTTAATGTAATTATTATTTTATTTAAAATTTTTCAATTTTGCCTTAGATTTTCTTAATAATATATATGTGTGTGTGTGTGTGTGCAAAAATTCAGATATGACTAAAATATATATCTG